CTAATCCTAATAGAGTTGTGCGCCTACCGGCCGTTTCCGCGCCACCGTGTCCGCGCTTCCTTCCTTTCGTGAAACGGGAGAGAATCCGCGAGGTACGTGCGTGTTGTCCATGCCAGTCGGCCTGCGATCCTCGTCCGCCAGTGATCCACCAACCAGTCGCGATTAATATGGGCGCCTGGATGTCCTGGCTGATCCTGCTGCAGCGTACGTATGCTCACCTTTTTTTCTTTCATCTTTTATTATTGTATTCGAATCGGGCCGATTCCAATCCAATTTACTTAAAGTTAGTCGGTAAAAGGTTGACGATGTTCGATGATTCTTGATTATTTATGAATTGGAAGACGATCGTATCGTTGTGCGAAGAAATATTATAATATTCGCGAGAAAGGTTCGTAAAGTTAAGAGATTAGGAAAGATTTCTGAATGGGAATATTCCAACAGTGTCGTCCGTGTTCGCGCATGGCTACGACAACGTGGGATTCGACGGCTGGTATCAACCGGTTCCGCATCGGCCGGTCGACATCATCACAGACGTTATTAACGACCTAGGCGTGCGGATTCTGCAGCAGTACACGGTCCATGGGAACGTTGCATTCTCGCCGACGGGGGTTGGCTTCGTCCTGGCCGCGCTCTACGAGGGCTCGGCCGGCAGAGGAAGACAGCAAATCGTCGATGCTCTCGGCCTACCGAGGGATCGAGACATCACCAGGATCGGTTTTCGCGATATTCATCGTAGATTGAGGGTAAGAATTATCCGGCATCGCGTTTAGGATGTCGTTGAATCGTTCAAAGTCGTTGCGCAATGCGTTCGACGTTCGAGGGTGATTAGCCGGAAAAGGGACACGGAAAATTTGCTTCGACGGCTCATTTGAAACGCGTAATTTCTCTTTTTTTTAAGTAGCGGTGGTTTTTTTCTTTCTCGCTCTTTTCGAACAAATTTCGTAACGAAAGATCGACGATGCGTAAAGGACCTGCAATAATTATTTTTCTCTACTTTAAAGACGTATCTGAACGCGGACGGATTTCTCGGGGGTTTGACACTCAATCACGAGAACACAAGATTGAGGCCTGAATACGAGGACATTCTGAGATTCTATGGATTCGATTTGTCCATTCCTGAAGAAGAAATGAACGAAACTACATTTGTTCCTGAAACAACGAATAGCATGATGGTGACTGAACAATCAACCATAGAAACGAAGACGGTAATTCCTGTTGAAATTACCACGCAATCTATTACTACACAAGGTATACAGAGTTCTGAGACCACTAGTGAAACACCAATATCGACTACATCATCTTCGGTGGAGTTGACTGGAATAACCTCAAGCACGATAGACGAGCAGGATAAATTGACGCAAACTACTCCTGCTGCTACTGTTTTAACGAATGATCCTAATGCTGCCACTACCGTGTCAAGTTCGATCGTAACTTCATCATCCATCGAGACAACGACGACCTCTTCGATACCTACGATTATTATGCCTAACTTAATTACAACTTCATCTTCCGAGATAGTAACTACGCCATTCATTACTAATACACCATTTTCTACTACACCTTCTACTACTTCTACTACTCCTGTTCTAATTACTACTGTAGCTTCTACAATTTCTGAAGAACCACAGACGACGACCGTTGCAAATCTTACTCAACCTATAACTACAGTTACTTTGTCTAATCAATCTCCAAGTACCGAGAAAAGTACGAGTACTTTGTCAACTTCAACAAGTACTTCCACTCCATCTACTACTACTACTACTACTGCTACTACTATTACTACTACTAGTACTACTACTTCTATTCCATCTTCCACTTCTGAAACGCCATTACCATCTACCACGTTAATAATCGTAGAAACTCCAGAATCGACAACCATTTCTACCGATCAAACGACCGAAGAATCTGTAATTATGACTGAACCTATCCCAAAGTCAACGATCATGCCACCGATAACATCTGCGCCGATAGACGCAGAAGCCACCGTGTCATTCACAGAAATGTCGGCAACTCTACCAGTCAATATCACGGAAATCTCGACGAGTTCGACGATCCTAACAACTCAGGCAAACGAAATGTCCATTAATGAGACTAGTAGGTTCACGAATAAACCTGACGACGAGAATACTATTTTAGTGGACTCTTTGAACAATCAATCGTCTGTCTCAAACGAGATGGAGTCTACTACCGAATTGCCAGTCACGACTGTTGCGGGTGAAATCGGGTCGATTGGACAGGAGAAGACGACGACCACCACTGTATCCTCGAATACGATGATAAATCGAAGGAAGCGTAGTGACAGGAGCCCCAGGGGATTCTTTTCTAGTTATCCAGGTATTAATTGCCATCTTTTTTTAAATTCTTTTTTTATTTTTGTCTAGATTATGGAGTCACTGACCGTTGAATATAGATTTTTTAAGAAAGAATATTCATAAAATGGTGATTAAGATGAATGGAGTAGAGAGAGAAGTTGTGGTTAATAAGATGTTGATGAATTTGCTCAAAAATCTGAATGGATTATTATATTAATAATGCTTGAAAAACAAAATTGAAATTCGAGGATTTGAACTCGGGCCAAATAAGTGGTAAATCCGGCACGCTAATCGCTTCGCTATCGAATTCTTACATAAGCATGTGTCTTTTTTATCTTTATAAGCTCTTTTAAAATTTCATGTACGTATATTTTTTGATAACCTCAATTTATATTCTTATTCTTGTTAAATTCTTTTAATTTTCAGACGAAGGGATTTGGATGCAAGATCTAGGCATCTGGAAACCCTATTCCACAAGTTTGAACGAGGCATCCGTCAGAGACTCGACAGAGATATCATTCTTAGTAAACGGTTGCGACGTCTCTTCCGTTACAGCCTCAAGATACTTCGCCGTTTTACCTTTTGCCTATTTCCCATCGCTGCACGCGGTCGCCCTTGAGTTTCCGCTTGATGTAAGATCTATTATTCCATAAAAAACTCTCGAAAATTCATCTTCTCGCCATTCTCTTTATAAAAGAGGGAAATTATTATCTTCAATATATTTTGGCGATAAATTATCTTTTCAATTCATTAATTTCAGGATCCTAGATACAATATCATCCTCATGATGGCCACGGATAGAAGGGACACGTACCGATTGGCCAGAGATCTCGGCGGGAAGTCGTTAAGACTGTTGCGGAAGCAGTTACAGGCCACTTGGGTCAGGGCCACCATTCCGTCCTTCATGTTGCGCGGTTTTGTCACACTGACATCTTTCCTTCAAAGGGTACGACGATTGCGAGGAATCTCTTCTGCGTTTCTTTTTGGAAAATGAACTTAATATCTTAATATTCTCTCGAGAATCTAAAAATTTTCTATATCAAATAATTTTTTTTAACGGAGGAAAGAGAGATCCTCGAAATCGAATCATTTCTTTCTCCATGTTCGCTGCCCGATATTTTACCATTAGCTTCGATCATTAAGCTCCTAATTACTTAATCGCGTTAGCCAACAGATCTTGAGTGCACTTTCCGTTTCTCGTCACGGTTTCGTTCCGCGAACCAGAGCTATAGGGGGACACGTGCCCTCCTTGACGACACGTAATTCACGATAATTCGAAACGGAATTGTTTAATAGACGTACTTTTGAAGTTGTGTAGCATTTTACTCTTGCGAATTTTATAGATCCCAACACTGTTTCATGTTGCTTTAGCGTAGTCTTTTAAACATACAATATTCAATCGTTTTCTATTATCGAACGATTGGATGCAGTTATTTTTAAAATTACTTTTGTCCCTCTCGATTATACTCGATTGTTCTTCTTTTCTTTTTCTTGTCAAATGTTTATTTTATTTTCAGTTGGGAATTTTGGACGTGTTCGAGCCCAGAACAGCCGATCTCTCGCCAATGACACCTGACCTAGGTGTGTACGCTAGAGACGTGCAGCAGAGCATCGGTGTGAACATCAGAAATTATATGAAACCTGACAGGACCCATTCTCGTGAGTCGTTCTATCGCCCTACCGATCCTCCATTGATTCCACTTCGTCGGGATTATTACCGATACTATATACATCATCCAGGTTTCTGCTCTCTGCTTTCTACGTTCTTTCTGCACTTTCCCTGTTACCATTCTTTATTAAAATTTCGATATTTCACAATCTACGAGGATTTGATCAAATTTTTTTGATTTTTCTTTTCTTCCAGTCACGAATTTCAAAAAAAAAAAAAAAAAAAAAAAAAAAAAAAAAA